TCCGTTTTCGGCCTTATAATTAGGTAGATATCTTGGCCTACATTTTAATCAATTTCTTTTTCATTTACAATCAGTCAGCTTTGAGAAAATCCTTGGTAAATATAAGGCAACTTTCATCATTAAAATTAAGTCGAAGGAAAAAATTTGTCACTACCAAATTTTTTTTGCATCTGGGGAATCTATTGATCTACATGTATGCCAATTTTCACAGCGATAAGTGTCTTACGAGAGACGCTATGTTTCTGCGCGTTCGCAGCAGGTCATGCAGCTCGCTCAACCTAATTTACATGACGCGATCAGCGGAATGAGGTCACAAGATGTGGAGGTTTCGTCCATAGTAAAAAATACCAAACGAACTCACACTTTAAAAATTCATAGCTCAAAAAGTACTTAAGCTAAAAAGTTGATTCTGGTTTCATTTTTTTATTTGAAATTAGCTCTAAATAGCTGTGCTATTAAAAAAATTATTTGAATTTTTTTAAAATTTTGTATTCAACTGCCTAGTTAACAGGTCTGATGCCGATGCAATAATCCCCCCTCCCCCCCATGTGAATTATGTGCCAGCCTTCTAGCACGCCTAAATTAGGAAAAGTAAAGAACTGTAAAGGGTAAAGTAAAAGTAAAGCAACAATATAAAAACATGTGGTAAGGTAATCCCTTATTTAAGTTATTATTACCTTTTTATTAGCCTGCCCTTATTTAAAATTAAAGCCAAGGGCAAGGCAATGAAATTTAAGCGCGATAAATTATTTCTAGTGATATAAAATTAAAACTTCCTCTTTACCTGATGGAACTAAAGGTTTAAAAGAGCGTCTTTTTGTTCAGGTACAATAACCATTTAACAAAATTGAACAAGATAAAAAAAAAAAGTAGCCTACAGTTCATGAATCTTTCGTCATTTACGACGCCATTGTGGGAAAACAAGGAGAACTCTCCTGTCTTCAAAGATACGTTATAAAAGTTGCCCAATTGGATCTATTTAGATTTAAATAATTTTTAAAAATGTTTATAGATCTATCTACTTTGTCTGATATTTCTTTCTATAAAAGTTGCCCAATTGGATCTATTTAGATTTAAATAATTTTTTAAAAATTTTATAGATCTATCTACTTTGTCTGATATTTCTTTCTAGCCCACTGGATCCATGCACAGCAATGTAAAGGTGGTACTCGCAAGGGACCTCAATATCAGGGGGCGCATTCGCCCAGGGCGCTGCTTTTCCTTTGCACGGTTGTGCATCCATTGCGGGCGTGGCTAGAATTTTGAGGGTGGGGGTAATGTGGGAAATGTTTGTTAAAACTTTGAATAAAATTGTCAATTTCCTTTCTTAAAATTTGTGATAGTTTCGATTTCTTTCTCAATAAATAACTAGTGATTTATTAAGTCTAAGAGGCAAAAAGCGGGAAAGTAATGACATATATGTCAGTAGCAGTAGCGAAATAAACACCATTGCAAACAGATGACTAGATCTAACAAAGCAACTTGGTTCCATCCAGATACATACAATCACTAACACTGCCTCTCATTTTACTCACCATAAACCAGAGTGAACTTAGGTGGCATCCAAATAATTAAGTGCCATCTATCAAACTAGAGCTGACCAACCACAGATCATTTAAATAGCTTATTTGCCTACAATGACTCACAATTGTCGAGAAAATGTCAATCCACTTGCACAGGAAGGGGGCTGTGGAGGGGGTGGTCCACACAGGTGCCACTTTTAAAAAAATTTATAATGAGGGGCGGCATTTTCGGCGAGCTGAAGAGTTTTTTTGTTTGTTTTTTTTAAAAAACTTAGTGGTAGTGGGTGGCACAACTTTCTAGTGAACATATCGCAACATAATCCCTGGTCCGCTCGAAACGTTTCCCAGATCTGCTCATTATGAGGACACGTTACACATCACCCAACGCTTGGACATTGGTCACTCTCTCAGTCTCTGTTGTTAGTGTAATTCTATTACGTAGCCGAGTCTCTCGCTTCACACCTTTTTTTGCCCATGCGCCGTTTCCCTGGTCTGGTCTGCTGATTACCAAAGTCATTCTCTGATACACTAAAGTAATACGTCGGCATAGCTAGAGCGACGTGGCCGTGGATTAGTAAGGCTGTGGGCAGCAACGCAGTCGCCGCGGCTTACCCGTGTATAAGGTTTAAGGTGTGTATAAGGTGTGTGTATGGGTCAATGGTGTGTGTATGGGTCAATGGTGTGTGTATGGGTCAATGGTGTGTGGATGGGTCAATGGTGTGTGTATCGGTAAATGGCGTGTGTATGGGTTAATGGTGTGTGTATGGGTGAATGGTGTGTGTATCGGTTAATGGTGTGTGGATGGGTTAATGGTGTGTGTATCGGTTAATGGTGTGTGGATGGGTTAATGGTGTGTGTATCGGTTAATGGCGTGTGTATGGGTTAATGGCGTGTGTATGGGTGAATGGCGTGTGTATCGGTTAATGGCGTGTGTATGGGTGAATGGCGTGTGTATCGGTTAATGGCGTGTGTATGGGTTAATGGCGTGTGTATGGGTGAATGGCGTGTGTATCGGTTAATGGCGTGTGTATGGGTTAATGGCGTTTGTATGGGTGAATGGTGTGTGTATCGGTTAATGGCGTGTGTATGGGTTAATGGCGTTTGTATGGGTCAATGGTGTGTGTATGGGTCAATGGTGTGTGTATGGGTTAATGGCGTGTGTATGGGTTAATGGCGTTTGTATGGGTTAATGGTGTGTGGATGGGTTAATGGTGTGTGGATGGGTTAGTGGTGTGTGAATGGGTTAATGGTGTGTGGATGGGTTAGTGGTGTGTGGATGGGTTAGTGGTGTGTGGATGGGTTAATGGTGTGTGGATGGGTTAGTGGTGTGTGGATGGGTTAAGTGTGTGTATATGCGTTAATGGTGTGTGTATGGGTTAATGGTGTGTGTTTTGATGGTGTGTGTATGTTTTAATGATATGTGTATGTATAATAAGGGTGTGTTATTGTGTGACTGTGCATGACTGTTTATGTGTGGTGTACATATAAAAGGGGAATTCTATGGTCCATATCTGTTGTTGTTTTTTTTTGTGTGGATATCGGCCAATCTGGGGTTCGTGCCACCCGGGGTGTGTCAAAATTTTAGCCGCCCCCTTTTATGACAAAACTCTGCAATTGGCAGAAAATGCCATCTTTCCATATAAAGTAACACGTGCCGGTGGGGGCCGACCACCCTTCCGCCCCTCCTTTTTTTTCTACGCCAATGGCACTGCCCTCCCGATGATCTGAAATCCCACCCCACATTTTTATTTATTTTTTTTTAAAGAAGAAAAAAATCCAGCAAAACAACAACTTAATGAAAGAACCTATGACAGGAACGATGTACCATCGGTAAGAAGGTTTGAACCAAAATTTGAAAAAAACAACAAAAAAACTAACGAAAGCTTACAAGCAGAGACGTCGCTTAACTTTTTGAGGCCTCCTGACATTTTTTGAGTTTTGTGTACTCTGCATTAAAAATTTTTACAAACCCCCCCCCCCCCCCCCCAACATTTAAACTTTGTGCCCCTTAAAAATGGTCATGGATTCGTCCAAGTACGGGATCCGGGGCAGGGCTAGGGAATGATGTGTAGCATAAAGGGGAGAGAAGTTACCCCATTTGAATGAGACAAGCAATTATCTTGATATTAGAATGAATAGGCTTTTAATTTAATTTCTTCTGTAGAATTTTATCATTTAAAAATAGATAACTTAGTTATAAGCGAGTAATAAGCCTAATATATTTAGCGCTGTTAAATAGACGGAAGTCAATCAAGTAGAAAAGGGAACAAAACGTAACGTAAATCTAGATACGAATGAACAGAAATGCAAAGCAAGTGGCAAGAATTATCATTTAATTTAAATGCTTGATAGTCTATGGGGTCGTCCATTTATTACGTCAACAATTTTTAAGCAATTTTTGCCCCCCCCCTCCACCCCCCTCTTGTCAACAACTGTCAAACTTTCAATGACCACCCCTATTTAATTATGTCAAAATTTTCAAAAAAAAAAAAAAAAAAAGAAAAAAAAAAGGAATTATATTATACATAAATTTGTGATTACATTTGACTTTGTGATGATCTATTTTAATAACACAAAATTGTAGGGAAAACATTTTATTACATCTTTAGCTTGTTAATCAACAAGTTAAAAAGTTTTTACAGTCAAATTTTATAATGCAGAATCAATTGAAAGATTGTTACAGACTAAAAATCATTGTTTGTGGTATAAATATGATTATTGTCAGTAAAGCTGACAATTATAGTATAGTTTCTAGCTACTAGCATCTTCCCAAGGCCAAGGAGTAGCCAGGTTCGCTCTATCGTAACAATGGGCATCAGGGACATCATTTGGGTAGGGCGTGGGGGCATCTGCAGGTTTTAGTTAAATTGCTATGTACTGTGGGGCCTCCAGCAATACACAACTTAAAAAGTTTTGGTTTTGCCCCCCCCCCCTGAATTTTGTAAAATGTTTTCTTTATTAAAAATAAATTAATAAAACAAGGAACTGCTATGGATATTGTGCGAATTCTTCACCATAGTCTCCAGCAGATGGTAAAATGCCCAATTGTTTACTGGATCAGAATGATGATGATGATGTTAATGTTAAGTTTAAAAAAAATTTTTTTTTAAAATATATAATTTTAAAAACGATACACAAAATGCAATAGGAAGATGAAACAAATGGTTACGAAAGGGAAACTGCTACTTGTAAATCCTTTTCCTGAGGTTATGACAGTTATCTTTTCATAGCCGTCTATTGCTCAAATAAATAAATAAAGATTGAATTCGATTGATAAAAATCAATAAATGTATAACTAATTTGATTACCATTGGAATAAAACAACTTTTGCTTTATTCTAGATACTCAAAAAGTTGTAATTATATTTTGAGCACATGAAAAATTAAATGACTTTTAAATATAATTTTTAAAGAAGCAGACTAATATCGAAAGTCTCGTTTAATCACGCTACGCGAGGTATTTTTTTCCGTATCCCATATAAACAATATGGCGTCAAAACAAGAAACGCTATATCCTGTCTTTATTTGTTAGGTATAGTTTAAAGTCACATGAACTGGAAACACAATTTTAGAAACAAAAAATAATTTAAAAATTAACATGGTTTTGTTTGAGAACGTCTTTTTAGGTCAAAGGGTTGAGGTGCGATGGAACGATGACATTTACCAGGGGACGATACGATTTAAAGGAACGATAGCAACCAAAAAAGGAGAGTGGGTTGGTGTGGCCTTGGATATCCCAGGTAAATTGTGAAAAAATATGATATTTTTAAAGATAAATATCAAAGATTACATTTTAATTCGATTAATTAACAGTTAGTTGTCAACCCCTTTATTAAATTAGGCACCATCTATAAATAAAATCACACAAATTTTGCAGATTCCCCCCCCCCCCCATTTTTTCCCCACACCCATATCATTACAAAAAGTTAGCCACACCCTCAATTATAAGTCACAAACCTTTGCACCCCTCTTTCAAAAAATTCCCCTCTCCATTACTGTCATAATAAACCCTTTTTTTAAAAAAAAATCACGGATATTAGGCTTTGCAACTGTGTCAAAAACATTTCCCTAGAACAGTTGCTCTTATTCAGTTAATCAGGATTAAAAGCACCCGTGAGGTGAAGATGAACCAGAGAATTTATTTACTGCAATTGCTAGTTCTTGCTGCCTTAAAATAAATAATTTTTCTGCAATTTTATTAGCAGCAATACATATTTTGAATTTTGTTTGCACATTACGTGCATTGGTAATTTTGTTATTGTTCTAGAAAGTTACATGAAGAAATAAGACTACAATAACTCATTTATTTAATTATTTTCATTTTTTAAATTTTTTGACAATATAATGTATTCTGGGGGAGGGGAAGTTCGCATGAAAGGTTTTAAAATTGAGAGGGGGATACAGCGTTGCAAACAGGTTAAGAATACATGTGCTAGAACATTTAATGATTTACTAAGATCACACTTCCCTCCAAATCAAAATATTTTAAATCCATGAGACGTCACATTGTAGCCTTAATTCTATGACTCCTCTGCATTTTAACATAAATTCTCAAAACTGTCGCTTCACCCTGAGTCTCCTCAGTGACAGCCTGTAACTTGATTAGAGGCCATTTTTCAGACCTGACATACCTGCATTGATTCTGTCAGTGATTGTAGTTTAAAAATATAATCATTATAAATGTATACAAGAATAATGTTAAACTTGTATACAATTAAGTGTTATTGAGTGCATTTTTTTCAATAATGTTGCACTTTTAATGTGATTAGCACTGTTTAAACCCCACTCCCCATCATCACACATCATCACAAAAATGTGACCCCCCCTCCCCATTAGACATGTGACGTCATTTATGAATGGCCCCATATTAGTTATTGCTATCATGAATCTATATTAATATTATAACGTCTTAGTCTTCTTATAATAGTAAAGTAAAAATTAAATGTGAAAAATCTATGTATTTTTCAAAGAAAAGTGTATTGTCATAACTAATATTATTAACTTTCTACATTCAAACATAGAATTTATAGATGAGTATGGGCCTGTGGATCATCAATAAATGATATAACACTATTGTGGCCAACTTTGACACCTCCCCCCCCCCCATCTCATCATAACGCATTTATCACAAAAGTTATACACGTACACCATCACACCCAGCCAAAAAAAAAAATGAGGTTAATTAGAGGAAAGAAAATTCACCCATTTTTATTTCCTATGATTATTGTGATATTAACATAATCAAGTTAAAAATAAAAATAACAATAACATTTAAAGAATTTTTTCAGATTTGTTTACTTTTTAAGTAGAACCTCAGCTCCTTGGCATAATTACATCTTGCTGTAAAAGTTTCAGAGAACATATCTTAAAAGTAACCTAATGTTTCAGATGGTGACACAAATGGGATGCTGTTTGGTCGCAGATACTTTCAGTGTCCCCCTAACCATGGCATATTTGTTAGAGCTGACAGAATTCGATTTATTCCAAGCATTAGATGGTAGGACTTTCATTTCAATCTTACTTTTAAATATCCAGTAAATGAGGAAAGTGTATATTTAAACAAATATTTTTGAAAGAGTATGATGAGATATAATATACACTTTACACATTGATGTAGCTAAATAAAACAAATTTTGAAATATCAACTACCAAATTTTTAAAAAAGATGATGAAATTTATTTAAATAAATACCATGGTTCAGTTTTGAGCAGTGCATCTATAATTTTATTTTATTTTTTAAAAACATTTTTATAAATTATATATGAATGTTAATTGAATGTGCACTATATTATGATTTATTTAAAAAAAATTCTTAATATATGAGACTTTAGGCATGTTAAATATATTATATTTTAATAATGATGTAATTGGCCTATGACAACAAGGTATGGGGCACTTTCAACTGCCTGTTTTAGTTGAATTTGTTGCCTTCAATAAAATTTGATATAATTCCCTCAAGTTTCTGTAATAAAATTAATTGTCTATAAATGTCAAGCTATTATACAATTTCAGTTTGTACGACAAATATCACAAAGTTTCCAACAAATCCAACGTAGATGACTTTCTCTTTGATACACCAAGTAAGTAGAACAAATGACTGAAATTCCAGATCTACACATCCCGTTACTGAATATATTTAGCTGATGAGACAATAAAGTTTTTTCCCTAAGTTACCAAGTCAATCAGCTGTATTCTTTAATTTCATTCAAGGGCCACCTATAAAGAATGGCCCTTACGATCCCATCAATCTCTCAGTGTATGATCTTCAAAGAGCCAAAAGTTCTCTTGGAGGTAGGAAGAGTTTGTTTTGTGTCATTTGTAGAAATATAATTTGATAGTTGCATGACACTGAAATATCCTCTTTGGAGAACCAAGAAATACTGTATTTGTAAAACAAAATGACCTATTCTTATGGTAAGACATAAAACTGATCATGGTTTTAGAACATGGAAAGATCTTAATTGTAAGACATTAAATTATTCTAGATCTAGTAATAATAAATGGTTGCAAAGAAAAATATTTAGAGTTAAAGTGTTATTGAAATTAAATTAACATTCTTTTCAAAGATTATGTCTCGGAATCAATTTGGGAGAAGCCGAAATATTACAGTCTGAGACATTCAGTTGGAAATCTGATACCAGCTGCAACCATGCTGAGGGGGCAAAAAGGACTCACGCCATTTAGGTAAAATTATTCATTTGTTGTTTAGAGTTTACACCTAGAGGCATTTGCATAACTTTGAGTCTGTGAAGTTAATGTTGAATGTGGCAAAATTATGTGAGCCTGTAGCCATGCAGGAAAATTGCAGACACGAATGTACACTTTTTTTCTCTCTTAATTAAAAAATCAAAACAAATCTATTTGAATTTTTAACACAATGCAATAAAAGTATAAGAATTCTGTCTGGAGACAGTTACCAAAGCTTGAAGAACATTTTAAAATCAGTGTTATAATTAGCCAGTTTTTAATTACTTCAGCTTTTTATAAGGCTGAATATAAAAGTGGCAAAGTAATAAATAACATAAAAGGCTAATTAAAAAAAAAAATTGTTGTAAGTTAAAGTATTGAAATAAGAAATGTCCCCACAACTCCAGATATTCTTCAAGTCCACTTCATGTAGATTACTGGAAGGATGACGACTTTGAGCGCAAGCCTTCAATACCCAAGACACACATGCCCCACTCTGCCTTGATACAGCAGGTAAGGATTTCCATACTAGATAAACCATGTGTACCTTTCAGTATTGTAGCTGTTGATGTGATCCACATAGAAAAAAAGTACTTAAGTCCATTAGAATTGTTTTGAGTAAAATGAGATGAACACTTTCGTGTTACCATTTAAAATAACTTACTTTTGTATCTGTGGTTTAAATATGATATTCGGTGCAGGGCAAGTAGGTAAATATCAGTCTGTTCTTAAAACATATTTGTCACTACTTTATTCCACTAGGCCCTTTAATTTATGTATTGAATAACCTAAAAGTAATCCATACAATTGAAAAACAATGTCTTTGTTGCAGGTGAGACGCGGCTGGGAGGGGGCTCACTATGTAAGGGAGATGACTGTTCCAACAGGCAAAGACAAAATGAAAATGTCCCAGTGGAATGATATATCAGCTTAAACTAGAAGCAGGCTTGAGCCAACACTACAAGTGTTAAGCTTTTTGTTACTTTAGAATATCAGTGTCTCCTGCTGGGATCAAATTTGTTAAAGTGATTTTTTGTTGTTGTTTGGGAGAACAAAGTCATAGATAGAAATTACTAGTTTAAATAAGTGAATTCCAAGTTTCCTTTGATAAAGTCATGGTCTTAGGTTTAAATTATGTCCATCCAATGACAGTTTTGACTCAACTCTACAACAGGTCTAGAAATGCTTGCAAGAACCTAATTATAGCAATGGTGGAGAAAGCACCAAACTTTTAGGGGGGAAAATGTCAATGGATCATCTTAATATTTCTGGTTAGTGCCCCCCCCCCCCCGACCCCCCTTTTTCTGATTGTTAGGTTTAACACAAAGTATTGTTTACCTACTATAGCACTATCACAACTTTGTTGTTAATCAAGAATAAGCATGCGATCATTTGCTAAGAAATACTTTTCTTTATTGGTCCAGTTGTATTTTTGTCTGAAAATTTATTTGAGCAACTTTTAATTCAAGTTAAAATTCATTTTTTGCAATACTTTAATTTAAAAAAAAAACAAGTTTATTGCTGATGAAAAAAATTATTGTTTATTGCTATTATAATATGTTACAAACTTAATGTTAATGCACTGTGTTATAATATCAGTCACTGTTACCTTGCAAACGCTGTGATATCTTTTGGCACATTTGCAATTTTTATTTCTCATGGATAAAATTATTGATGTCTTTATAAAAAGAGCTTTTTTTAAAATTTGTGTGTTAAATTATTCAACTTTGTTGTTTATTGAAATGATTTTTTTTTTTTTTAAAAAGTTAAACTTTAAATCTAAGAACAAAACAAAATAAAAAACAAATAAAGAGAAAAGAGTAATGTTATAAAATATAGATAATAGATAAATCCAAGCTCAATAAATCATACTGTCTATGTTATTTTATTTTAGCAACTTTCAAAGACCAGGGAAAAATAAGGATTATTTTTTTCATTTTCAGTCAAAGATTAACTTATTTTAGTAGTGGTCAAACATCAGTAAAAAAATATTTAGTGGTCAGACACCAGTAGTTGTAGTGGTCAAACAGCACTAGTTTCCTGTTTGGGTACATCAAACGCTACCTCTATGACAGAATTGAGCTTCCCTTTATCTTCATCCCTGTACAAACAAACAAACATAATTGTCATGTATCTCATCTGTTGCATTAACACCAGAGTTTTATCAAGTCTGACCACTTAAGACATGACTTAATCTGTCCCTTTAACACCACAGTGCAATCAAGTCTGACCGCTTAAGACATAAGACTTAACATGCCTGACATTGTGATGTCATTTTATAAAAGTTCATTTGTATATTTAACTCTTTGAAAAAATATCTTACTTATACTACTCTTGAAACCCAAGGCTGTTAGTTATCAACCTCTGCTTAGAACAGTCAACCCTGATGACATCTGTCTCAATCATATCTGTACCACACAGTTGACACCAATCATTCTAAATTGTTAAGTTAACACTAAGAATTTGGCTCAGGCAAATCAATCACTGGTACTCACTGAACTGACCAATCATTTGTACTTACTGAGCTGACCAATCACTGCTTCATACTGAATCGAACAATCATTTGTACTTACTGAAGTGACCAATCGCTGGTACTTACTGAACTGAAAGAATGGCAAACTCATCAATGTACTCCTCTGCCCGCCCTGCCATACCGAAGTGAAAGTGGGGACACAAGAGATACAGTGTGAGAACCCTGACCAGTGGACAAACGTAGACCAACAGCTCCAGGCATACAGTGACCATCAAGTTTTGTGACTGGGAGATTAAGAAAACTTCACATGAGTATATAATCATGTCAGAATTCTATCATAATCAGGACATTAAAATCCTGTATTTTATACACTCGGTAATGTTCTTTATTTCATAAATGTATTTTATTTTAATGTCATGATTATGTCTCTTTTGATACAATTTTTATGTACAGCGCGGTGAGCCCAGCCCTAGGCTAGGGTATCACGCTATATAAGACCTCTTATTATTATTATTTATTATTATTATTAGTAGTAATGTAGATTCATTTAGAATATCAATAGGCCAAAAAATACCCTAACAATTTTCACTAGCACTTCAATCTTAACACAATGATTGTTAGAACTTGAATGTTACCCCCAATGATTTTTAGCACTTCAGTCTTACCCGGATGACTGCACTGATAGCACTTCGATATTACCCCAATGATTGACGGCGCTTCAATCTTACCCCTACGATTGCAGGCACCAGGAAGATGACGTTGAATGTTGATATGCCAGTAAATAAAATCAGGAGCTCTAAATCCTTCATGGCTCTCTTAGTTATCTTTGTAGTGTTGTCAATGAAAAAACGGCGGACCTGCGTACACAAATACTGCTTTAGGTTAGACCTCATGCATACACCAAATATGAGAGCTTTAGGTTAGACCTCATACATTCACTAATTATGAGTATTTTAGGTTAGACCTACTGCGTACGCCAAATATGAGTGCTTTAGGTTAGACCTCATGCATACACTAAATATGAGTGCTTTAGTTTAGACCTACTGCGTACATTAAATATGAGTAATTTAGTTTAGACCTACTGCGTAGGCTACACTAAATATGAGTGCTTTAGGTTAGACCAACTGCGTACATTAAATATGAGTGCTTTAGGTTAGACCTACTGCGTACGCCAAAAATGAGTGCTTTAGGTTAGACCTCATGCATACACTAAATATGAGTGCTTTAGGTTAGACCTACTGCATACATTAAATATGAGTGTTTTAGGTTAGACCTACTGCGTACACCAAATATGAGTGCTTTAGGTTAGACCTCATGCATACATTAAATATGAGTGCTTTAGGTTAGACCTACAGCATACATTAAATATGATTAATTTAGGTTAGACCTACTGCGTAGGCTACACTAAATATGAGTGCTTTAGGTTAGACCTAATGCGTACATTAAATATGAGTGCTTTAGGCTAGACCTACTGCATACATTAAATATGAGTGCTTTAGTTTAGACCTACTGCATAGGCTAAATATGAGTGCTTTAGGTTAGACCTACTGCGTACATTAAATATGAGTACTTTAGGTTAGATCTACTGCATACATTACATATGAGTGCTTTAGGTTAGACCTACTGCGTAGGCTACACTAAATATGAGTGCTTTAGGTTAGACCTACTGCGTACACTAAATATGAGTGCTTTAGGTTAGACCTACTGCATACACTAAATATGAGTGCTTTAGGTTAGACCTACTGCATACAATAAATATGAGTGCTTTAGGTTAGACCTACTGCATACACTAAATATGAGTGCTTTAGGTTAGACCTACTGCATACACTAAATATGAGTGCTTTAGGTTAGACCTCATGCATACACTAAATATGAGTGCTTTAGTTTAGACCTACTGCGTACATTAAATATGAGTAATTTAGTTTAGACCTACTGCGTAGGCTACACTAAATATGAGTGCTTTAGGTTAGACCTACTGTGTACATTAAATATGAGTGCTTTAGGTTAGACCTACTGCATACATTAAATATGAGTGCTTTAGGTTAGACCTACTGCATACATTAAAAATGAGTGCTTTAGGTTAGACCTACTGGATACATTAAATATGAGTGTTTTAGGTTAGAACTACTGCATATGCTAAATATGAGTGCTTTAGGTTAGACCTACTGTGTACACTAAATATGAGTGCTTTAGGTTAGACCTACTGCGTACAATAAATATGAGTGCTTTAGGTTAGACCTACTGCATACACTAAATATGAGTGCTTTAGGTTAGACCTCATGCATACACTAAATATGAGTGCTTTAGGTTAGACCTACTGCATACAATAAATATGAGTGCTTTAGGTTAGACCTACTGCATACACTAAATATGAGTGCTTTAGGTTAGACCTACTGCATACACTAAAAGTTAGACCTCATGCATACACTAAATATGAGTGCTTTAGTTTAGACCTACTGCGTACATTAAATATGAGTAATTTAGTTTAGACCTACTGCGTAGGCTACACTAAATATGAGTGCTTTAGGTTAGACCTACTGCGTACATTAAATATGAGTGCTTTAGGTTAGACCTACTGCGTACATTAAATATGAGTGCTTTAGGTTAGACCTACTGCATACATTAAATATGAGTGCTTTAGGTTAGACCTACTGCATACATTAAATATGAATGTTTTAGGTTAGACTTACTGCGTACACCAAATTTGAGTGCTTTAGGTTAGACCTCATGCATACATTAAATATGAGTGCTTTAGGTTAGACCTACGGCATACATTAAAAATGATTAATTTAGGATAGACCTACTGCGTACACTAAATATGAGTGCTTTAGGTTAGACCTACAGCGTACACTAAATATGAGTGCTTTAGGTTAGACCTACTGCATACACTAAATATGAGTGCTTTAGGTTAGACCTACTGCAAACACTAAATATGAGTGCTTTAGGTTAGACCTACTGCATACACTAAATATGAGTGCTTTAGATTAGACCTACTGCATACACTAAATATGAGTGCTTTAGGTTAGACCTACAGCATACACTAAATATGAGTGCTTTAGGTTAGAGTCCTATTTGTTTACTTACTGTACACAAACATAACATTGTCACATTTGCTTAAATCGGTAAAATTGGATATCAGGGATTATTTCAGAAATTTTCCCCCGGGAAAGGGGGGGGGTGCAGTTCAGATTTTTTCAGGGGGGGGGGTAGCAGCGCCAGTTAATTTATTGGTGGACATATTCTTGCTCCG